ATAATAAATGGATGAAATCAGAAAACATAAAATGAACTGGGCCAGTTTTGATATGCAGATTAGGTGAAATGATTTAATTGACAGGTAAATGTTGAATTTTTGACTGAATTTCTGTCTGTTACAGTAGTAATTCATCACATTAATATAAACACAATATGACTTTTGAAAACATAATGACTGTCTTAAAGTGGTTTGACAGCACACAGTTTGGTGTTAAAGTATGAAGCTAATAGTTAGCAATTATGTACTTCCTTAAACTAATTAATTAAACTGGGCAGAAACTAATTACATTTACTTGAGTAACTTTTTGGGAAACATTATGATACATCACTACTCATACTTGACTAAAATTTCTAGTTACTCTACCCACTGGGAGTAAGCCTGCTGAATGAAGAACAAACATGTTTCACCCAAAATTGCATGAGACACAGAAACATGCCTACAGTTTATGCTAAAGTGAGACCTCTTGTTTGCTCACAAGCTGTGTGAGCAAACAGGAGGTCTCACTGACATGATAATGACATGACACTGTCATAAACATGACACAACCGCTGTCATGAACATGAAAGAGTCTTCATGAATGTTTGACTATTGTCATGAAGTGCCATTTGGTAAATAATACTTTTAATGCAAAGTTGACTCCTTTAATGGACTTTTAATGTAAGTTTCAGTGCAACATTGAATAAAAATGTCATTATTTACCAATTAATGCCAAGTTGACATTGTTAATGCACTTTTAATGCAACTTTGCATTAAAAGTGTAATTATTTACCAAGTGACACATCATGACAATAGTCATAAACGTTCATGAAGACTTATTCATGTTCATGACAGATGTTATAACATGTTTACGACAGTGTCATGTCAGTCGTATGCAGACCGCTTCAAATAAAGTGTTACCTTCTAATGTTATTTACTATCTGCTGAGCCTCTTGGGACTTTTTAAATCAAAAATAAACTGTAAACAATACAGTCGCTGAAAATACCTTACCCTGTTCTAATATGGGTAAGAACAGGGTAAGCAAATACGTACATTTCCTACTGTACGTATTTGCTTCATTAACCAAAACATTAAAAATATTTGATTTTGTTTTGTAATTAAATGTACTATTTTTGTCATATAAATACCAAAATTTGCACGTAATTATCGTTTTCTGATCACATCACTTTTCTTATATTAGATGTTCTTATCATAAAAGAATAACTCTTCTGTGAAGTACTTTTTTAACTCTCAAGTAATTTCTTTGATGGTCACGTTTAACTTTTGCTGAAGTACAAATATGTTGGAGTAGTGCCACTCTTACTTGAGTAGAATTGTAGGGTACGCTGCCCACCTTTGACTAAATGTATTGCATTTAGTAACGACCATGCAGTCATAGTAACCGACACACTCAGCTCTAATGTCCCGTGTCTCCACAGCTAGCTTTCTGCCTGAAACACCCAGAGGAACGACAACATCCTCCTTGCTAACGTTAGCTATCCCCCCTTACTGTGACAATGAGCCCAGTCCACATGAGTGGCAGTGGGTAATAGCCACCACTAACACCCACCTGCCAGCTGCATAAGTTTACCTGCCCTGTCGGTTTCCGCTTACCTGCATGTTGGAACAAACAGTTAGGTGACTAGCGGTTGTAGCTGTGTAGCATCTCTGTTTCGCCCTGTTGATACGCAGTCTTCCGCCTTTTACCCAAATTCACCATGGATCCCATCTGCTTCAGCCCGTCACAGAGCCGCTCTAACATCCGGGCTTGAGCTCACCACCGCCCATTATCTGCGGGTTTTAATGGCGCCGCTTTACAACGCATTGTTTGCTCTGTTTTTCTGCTTCTGGGGAGGACATTTTCATAAAAAAAGCACCGCTAGTTTACCGAATCCGAACAATTTTTTTGTACTGCTGCTGGAGGCTAGCAAGAACTGACAACTGCATCCGGTTGGAGGACGTCACAATAAAAGTCATACTAAAGGTCACTAAGGTAAAACAGGCAAATTTCTCCTTCAAAACGATGTACCTGCTAGGAGTAATAAGTACTTTAATTTTCTTTTTACAAAATATGACATTTTTACAATGTAATGCAAAATTTCAGTTTTTATCAAAACATGTCTAGTCATGTTTCTCAGTCTTTCAGTACTTGCTTGATGACTAATGTTTACATATATATTTTTTTAAAATGCACATTGTTAATTTTTTTTTATTTTGCCAGAAATATCATTCGATATATTATCAAATAGTTTGGTAATTTATATGTGAATGCTTAATATAAATAGATTAAAAAACAAAGTGCAGATTATAAAACTAAATATTTTTATGTGTTACTTATTCCAAGATCCAAGATATTCCTCTGGTTTTTAAGCTATTCCATGCTCCAATAAAAAAAAAGTAACAGTCCTATTTTTACTGGACATAAAGAAGTGGTCATTTCAGAGGAACTATATCTATCTAAACACCTCAAGCATATTTATCGGAGAACTGTAGTCATACACACCTGTACTATTTATTTTGAAAGCAATCAAAACAGCGGAAGCGAAAAGTTGACGTAATGAGGTCATGTTTGTTATTTTTTTCCCGTACATCAGCGTGGGGTGAGAAAGTTCATGTACGTCATTGCGTCAGGCATACGACACTTAACTGCTTTCAGTTCAGGAATATAAAATGTAAAACATAAAAAAATAAAATACACTGCTACTAAGAGCCGTATTAATTTAATGAAAAAAAGTAGGACATTCCAATATCACATTGGAAATATGAATATCTCCTAAAATATAAGAAAAACACACACACAGCTTGCTCTAAATGTAACACAAGTTCAAAACTATTTATTTCAACCAATCATGTTATCTATTAACATCAGCAAATACAAAGCATGTGAAATGTTAGCAATTTATTCTTATACTCTCTTTGCTGCATTTGAAGCTGAAACCTAATGACAGATCATTGGATGTAAATCCAGTTCTGTGTTTAAAAGTAAAAATACTTAACGACTTAAACTAAACACAAACAAACAGGCACACTTTAGTGGGCTGATACACAAAATACACAGTCAATGTTTTTCATTTACCCAGAACAACACTTTTATAAAGTGCATATCATGATAAATTCAGTAAATAAACACAATAGCCAGAAGCTTTACTTTTTTGTAAAATGTCAAAGCAATAAATCTTTAGAGAATCTGGTGCAATACTATGAATACTGAGGTATTTAGAATTTTTGCTACAATTTATAAATATACGGTACTTTCAAGGGGCAGTATCATGTGCTTCCCAGCTACATAGTAAAATTTTGTAGAACAATCAAGTGACTATGTCACCTTCAGTTCTTATAAAGTGCTGCATATCTCAAATATGACTTTAAAAAATCAATTTCATAATTTAACGCCTTGAATGGGCCTCTGTCTTCTTCCAACTTTCAGTCTTCAGGAAGTCGTCACAACATTGTTCCCCTATTAACCCTTCAACAATGCATTTACCAATTTTGCACTAAAAAGTAGCTCAGACAATGAGCTCAGCAGATGCACAGTTCCATCAGGTGTTTGCTAACTGGTGCTGGCTAGTCAGAAGGAGCTGAAAGGGAAAGTCATGTGGGAGAAATGCTCTGTGAGGCGGTAGCTCGGAAGTTTGGAAATTGCAGCTCCAAGGAGGAGCTACATCTTCAGCCCCCCAAGCGTTCTGCACTGCTGAATGGTTGCCAAGGGAAATTAAATGATTTCTCAAACATGCATGAAAAAATCAAAGCCACACTCCAAGAATGTTTTTGATTAGGGAATAACATTAGAAGATGACTTAAAGCTCAAACAACTCAAATTAATACTGTCACTTTAATATAAAAACAAAAGAAAACTACATTTAAATTTACTTGGGTTTTATTATTATAGCTCAGGAGAAGTTTTCAATTTCCTTCTTCATTTCCTAGAGAAAAAAGAGAGGAAAAATAAATTATTAAATAAACCAGTTGTAGTTTTTTTTTTTTTTTGCCAAATAAACTCCCCCACAAAGTATGAGTTTGCTTTTTCTTTTTCTTTACAGGCATCTAAAACCAAAACATGTCGTTCGGCAGTTATGTTTGTGGATCATAAAACTATGAATTTTAGCTGAGCAGCTTTTCCCTCAACTTGAGTGTAATAAAATCATGTAACAGCTAAAATAACACAATAGCATGTGATAGCCTTTAGCAACTTCTGAACTCTTTTAAGTAGCCTCCATCTAAAAGGTTCCTGAATAAACAAAGCTGAGTGGCATTGCTGTACCTTAATGAGCTCTGTCTTGTTGTAGTTGTTTCTGTGTCTGTAGATGGATTGAGCCAACAGAGCATAAAACTTCTCCAGAGTCTCCACCTCAGCGGCCTCTGTTTTAACTATTGCTCTGCTCAGCAGCTCCTGGAGAAAACAAAAATAATGACTGCAAACAATAGCTGCAAGCACATTACTTTAATTCATTTCAGTTTATCCCTATAGCTCCAATTTACAATTATTCCATTTTAACTAACCTCATAAAACAAAAAGGTAAAATCTATATCCAGTTACTTAGAAATTATATGATCAAATTGTATTTAATGTGTATTTAAAACTGATAATACATTTCAAATGTGAAATATTAGTTAAATGTTTAAAAAGATGTACAGATATTTTTAACCAATTGTTTCTCGTTAGAACCCTCACAGGATCAATCAGAGCAAAAAGGGGCGGGGCTAATGTTTGGGATGTCATTTTTGATTAGCACTTAGAAATAGACATTTCAACATGCATTGATATAAATATGATGCATTAAATTTTGAGTTCAAAAAGTACAAAAGAACTTCATTCTTTGGTTCCTGGAAAAGGGTGATAATCGCTAACCAGGTATTAGGCACTTTTAGGATATTTTACAGTTGCTAACTTATTCAGAGACTCTCCAAAAAAAGGAGCTTGAGCAAAGCAGAATGGTTAAAAATTCCACTCTCCAAATGAGCAAAGCTGGATTATTTTTGTTTCAATTCAAGATTATGCACTACTAAGACCTGGTCTGTTACAAATAAAATCCCAGTAGAAACATGCTTGATTTAAATCAAACTTTTAAGAACCCAGGCAAAAAATGGCCAGTATTTTATTGTTAGCAGTGCAAATCTTTAAAAATAAAGGCCCAACATCTTAAAACATAACCAGAGTTAACTTACTTTCAGCTTTTTGTGATCAACTACCAGGTCGGGTGTTTGCTCGTCAACACTCTCTTCAGATCTGTTCTTGTTGAACTGCTGCATTTGCTCAAAAACAGCCTTGTTTGTTCTCATCTCAGTCTTTCTCTGCCTCTCTGAGGAAGACAGAAAAGAAAGGTGCTCTCCTTTTAGCTGAAAAATTATGCTAAGGTTTACTGCAGTTTTTAAAAGGGTGCACACAGCAAACAACAAAGACAAGACACATAACCACAATTATATATTTTCGTATAATATTAAAGTTAAGAAGTAAACTTTAATTCTTATATCAAACCTATATTTTTTTAATTAAAGCTTCATTTTTGTTTGCATCTAAATATACTTATCCTGCACCAGTCACATTAAGGAAAACAAGAGGTAAAGCTTTTTTGTTTACGGGGTACAAGTACAAACACCAGCATTTCAAACTAAAATAATCCTGTGGAGTAAATCAAAAACTGGTTCTCTTTTGAGTTATTTGAAGTGAACATTTATTTCTGTGACAGAATATCAGAGAGCATCTGTTCTCGGCTCAGCTTTGTGCCAGTTTGGCTCTGCGCCCAGAGTTCTGCCTGACTGTGAAATGTTTGCTCTTTAGATCTTGCTCAGCAGCGTCAGGAGAAGCAAAGCAGGAGCAGAAGCAGCACTTTCACTACCTGTTTTGCACACTGCAGGGTTTTGAAGCTCAGTCAGAGTCCCATGAAGACCAGTTAGTAGAGCAAGAGCAGGGCGGTCACACAGCCTGAGTTAGAGGTCCAGCTTCCACTCCAAATCTCTGTTAGACAAACACACACCTAATTTCTTTAAATAAAACTCCGTCAACGACTTCCTTCGGATTGGGTCAGACTTTGAAGGCTGCCTGGACTTCAGTTTAATTTTGGGAGTGCAGCTGCTGCTGCTGCTGCTGCTGCTGCTGGACTCGTTGCAGTTTTGCTTTAGACGTTTTTGTAGAGCTTTAAAGTCACGATGGTTCCTGTTGAGCTTCAGGAAGATGTTCTCGTCATCATCGCTGCTGTCTGACAAACTGGACGAGCTTCGGCCAACAGAACTACTCTCCCCTCCCATTCCATCTGCACTTGAATCTGAACTGGTTATGCTGGACATTGAGGAGGTTGAAGCTGTCTTCTTTTGTTGCCGTTTCTTAATGACACCAGTGCTCCACTTGGATTTTCGGGATGATTTGAAAGACTTTTTCTTACGTGCTGCAAAAAGAAGTCAGAAGAGAGTTGGGATAGAGGGTAGAGAGAGGATAGGAAGAGTCATTACACAGAGAAGAAATGCGATGGAGTGGAGCTGAATCTCTGTTCACTAGATCTTCTTGTTCTCCTTTAGCCTTTTCTCCCTGAGCTGCAGACTCTCTCTCTCATTCGTAGTTCTCCCTTCTCTCAGCTCTGCAGATTCTACCTCTTCTTCTCATCGGTTCTGTGACTTTAATGCCTTTACATTTGAAAAAAGACCCTGCTGCTCTCTGTCATTGCACCTTTACTTCACCTCTTTCTTTCCCTCTGATTCATTAAACAAAGGTGTTTCTTTAACATGACGATGTATAATATTTCTTGAAAACATGAATTTAAAAATGGTAGTTGGTTTCTTTTTTTATCAGTTTGATCTAAACAGAAATTCATATTAAGTATTTTCCATAATATAATACTGTTTGATTTTTCTTAGACTTTTTTGTATTGTTCCTGCCAGAAAAATAAACCTGATATTCATTTTATAAATTTGTGTAAGTTAATTTAACCAAGTAAACAATTTTCTTTAACAGTATGTCATCATTTTTTTTAACTTTTCCTTTTTAGTTAGGAGCTTACAATATTAATATTAATTTCCATAAAAAATGAAGACTAACAAAAGGGAGGAAGGCAGACAAGTACTAGAAATTCATGCAGCGAATGAACCCAGAGCCCACCTGAGACAAAAGTAGTGATAGCAAAGGCTACATGTCAAGTCTGAAGCCAACATGATGATTATTTATCCAGTAAGAGAGAGAACAGTTTGCTAACAGAGGTACCTTGGAAAGCTGTTAAACCTGCAACCTACAGATGGATTTAAAAACCGTCTTCCTCAAGTCCAGCCATTTCACCACAGTAATGGCTATTTGTGACAAAAACTGCAACTACATAATTAGTCTGTGTTTTACTCATAAGGGCTTAACTGCACTACAGAAATGTTACTGTACAAATGCTATTCTGAGGATAGTTGTCTGTTTCACTACCACAGTTTTCTCGCAACATGTTGGTTAGCCCTGAAAAAGACACTACAGACACAGTGGTGGTGAAAGGAAAGTTAAAATTACTGTAATTTACAACGCCTGCAGTCTAATATTCTCTCGTGTTTTAGTTTCATTTAGCTCAGACACGCACACAAAAAAATACTATTACATCTTGTAATCAATTGAGGTTTTTAAGTCTTTATTTCTGTTAAAAGAAGTTTCGCTTACAGCTAATAAAAACACATTTAAAATTAGAATAATATGTCAGACAAAAACAGAAAAATAATTTTAATAGAGAACTGTGGTTTTAATGAACACTACATTTTATACCCATTTAAAGATTTTTTTTTTTTTTTTCAAAAGGCACTTTCTATTTGACAAATGAGTCTAATCGAAATGCTATTCTAATTTATTGAATATGACTGCATTTAAGTTAAGAGCAAAAATAATTACCCATTCAAGTATTTTATTTTTTTGTGGAAGAATACTAACCATTGATAGTTTAAACCTTTGAAAAAGTTACATTTTGGTGTTAAGTTACATTGTCTTTTCAAGACAGAATTTTTATCAAGGCTTACGTTGAGGTCCAGTGCTGTTTCTGGGGAACACAGAGTTGTAGAAGCCATTGGTCAACTCTAGAGTGGCTCTGCCCCTGTGGGATAATGCTGTCATAAAAATAAAAGTCTTAATTTATGGGTTGGAAGCTTTAAAAAAATAAGCACTGACTATGTAAATACATACCATAGGAGACATTTTTAATTCAAAGGGATGTTTTATTACTTCAGAACTAAATAGCCTTTGTAAGGATTAAATCAGGAGTCCATGCTGAACACCTGGTGTAGTTTGGCTGCAGTGAACAAAGTTTTACCTCTATCAAGCCGAGACTCTCGAATTTCCTCGCAGATCCTCTGGAAATCCTTGTCCAGTTCGTCTCTGATGATGACTCGCATTGTGTCTTTCAGGGCGCAGGCTCGGTGACGGATGTGACGATCTGACACAAGCAAACCATTTCACATGAATATTAAATTATATAAACTTTGAATTCACATTAGGTAAAACTCTAAGGGATACTCTAATATTTTTGGTAAAGCAAAATGGCAGACTCAATAAAGAAAGCACAAAAACCTTATAGTTTAGCTTTAATTTCCTTCAAAAGCTCTGCACTCGGTCATTTTAAAATGATAACACTTTATACAAAGGGCTTGTCACCTCTAGCCCACATCAAAAGCATCTGAAGCTTGAAAAGCATGCTAAGTATAAAACCTCAGATGGTTCTCAAATGTTCTTAAAACATTGAGTTCATTATATAAGGAGTTATGTATTTACTACCACCTGCTGGGTCTCTGTCTGGGTTGTACTCGAGAGCGTTCTGCCAGATGAGGTCTGCGTCTGACATGAACTCATCAACGGTGACATATTTATGCTCATCAATGTTGTACAGCAGGGTGGAGAGGTCCATGGGCTTCTGGATCACCATGAGGTAGTCTGGGACCTGGAAGATGGAGAGTTCATGGTTTTACACTCTTTCTAAAACATCCAGCAAGGAGCAGGAGCACAATTACCTAATATTAACTTTGCTTTAGTTTTAAACTGTATCCCTAGAGGGTTTCCAGAAAAGCCATTTTATACAATAATGGAAACAGTTAAATATGAAAAGGAAATAATAAAATCCCTTTTAAATAAGAAAATAAACA